TAAAACCTCATAATTTTGGGTCTATACAACGTAGTTTAGGGGTCCAACGAAATAGGAAAAGACCAAAAGACCCCCAACTTAACTGTTGTCTGAGTGACTGACGTACGGGACTGACGGACCATCGATCGACTGACGGACCGTCAATCGACTGACGGTCCGTGCTGGTCATCCGTCGATCAGTACTGGAGGCTGAATATGGGGGTCTGACCTACTACCCTGGACCACGGACGGTGGTCTGACCTACGGTCCGTAGGTCCTGGCGTAGGTCTAATTTTAGCCAAATTTTTTGGCTGAGTTCTAGGGGAGGTTTCAGGTGTGAACCATAGACCACTAGCACGGGCCGTGGGTCACCCTATGGTCCGTGGGTAGAGACCGTGAGTTGCATCTGCAACCTCTGGAAATCTGTTCTGAGGTCCGTTATTGGATACGGGGTGTTACATTATCTCCCCCTTGGAAACATTCGTCCTCGAATGAAGACTAACTACCTGAAATGGAGGGAGAGGGCTCCAGTCCCTACTACTAAAATACAGAAGCTGATTTCTGTCTGAACTAAGTTCCAAGAACATGCAAATACGCTGAAAATGCAAGTACAAACTGAAGGAACATGATACTAAGACTGAAGCTACACATGAATGACTGAAAAACTGAAGAGAAACTATTATCTCAAGCTGGAGTGGAATCGGAAGGAAAGAGGTGAGGATAGTTGGCCTTCATGGCTGCTTCTGCTTCCCAAGTAGCTCCCTCTACGGACTGACTCATCCACAAAATCTTGACTGAAGCGACTTCTTTGTTTCTCAACCTTCTATCCTAACAATCAAGAATCTCAAATGGTACATCCTCATAAGAAAGGCTATCTTTCATGGCCACACTCTCTAATGGCACTATGGATGTTGGATCACCTACACACTTCTTTAATAGTGAAATGTGAAAGATTAGATGCACTGCTTCTAAATCTGTTGGTAACTCTAACTCTTAAGCCACTTTACCAATCCTTTTCAAGATCCAGTAAGGGCCTACATTTCTAGGACTGAGCTTCCCTTTCTTGCCAAATCTCATCACCCCTTCATAGGTGACACTTTCAGGAAAGTCCAATCATCAACTTGGAACTCTAATTCCCTTCTCCTTACATCTGCATAAGACTTCTGGCGACTATGGTCTATCTTAAGTCTATCTCTAATGAGTTACACTTTCTCCACAACATTAAGGATCGAATCTGGCCCTATCAGGGCTGCTTCACCTACTTCAAACCAACCTACTGGAAATCTACATCTACGCCCATACAATGCTTCATAAGTGGACGTCTGAATGCTGGAATGGTAACTATTGTTGTAGGCGAACTCAATAAGAGGGAGGTAATCATCCCAACTACCCTTGAAGTCAATCACACAAGTTCTCAACATGCCCTCTAAGGTTTGAATGGTACGCTCAGCCTGACCATCCGTCTGCGGGTGGAATGTTGCTCTAACGTTAACCTGAGTACCAAGACCTTTCTGAAACAACTTCCAGAAATGAGAGGTAAACTGAGGAACTCTATCTGAGATGATAGACAAAGGTACCCCATGCAACCTCACAATTTCATTAATGTAAAGCTTGGCGTAGTCCTTCGCCGAATCTGTAGACTTGACCGCCAAAAAACGTGAAGACTTAGTAACTCTATCAACTATCACCCAAATAGAGTCATGCTGTCTGCGAGTACGAGGTAAACCTGTGATGAAGTCCATGTTGATCACTTCCCACTTCCAAGTAGGAATGTCAATCTCTTGAGTCATACCTCTTTGTTTCTGATGTTCTACCTTGACTTTCTGGCAATTGGGGCACTTAGCCACAAAATCCGCTATATCTCTTTTCATAACAATCCGCTAATAGACTTCCCGCAGATCACTATACATCTTAGTGGTGCTTGGATGAATAGAATATCTGGAGTTATAGGCTTTTGCAAGAATCTATTATCTCAACTCACCCACCTTTAGAACACATAATCGACCCTGATAGTTAAGTACACCATCTCTCCCCGGGAGAAAACCTCCACTCTCTGCTGATGGATTGCACCCTTTAGCTCAAGCAATACCGGATCACTGTCTTGGTTTTCCTTAACTTCCACTACCAAAGAAGATTCTTCCCCATTCTGAACCGTTACACCACCATCTGATATGCTCATAAGACGAACTCCTAGGCGAACAAGTTTGTGAACCTCCTTTACTAGCTCCTTTCTTTCTTCCTCAACATGTGCTACACTACCCATAGGTAATCTGCTAAGAGCATTTGCTACTATATTGGCCTTACCAGGATGGTAATGCACACTCATATCATAATCTTTGAGGAACTCGATCCATTTTCTCTGACGAAGATTCAACTCTTTCTGGGTGAACACATACTGAATGCTCTTATGGTCTGTGAACACATCTATGTGAACACCAGACAAGTAATGTCTCCAAATCTTAAGTCAAACACCACTGCTGCTAGCTCGAGGTTATGAGTTGGATAGTTCTTCTCATGCACCTTAAGTTGTCAAGAAGCATAACCTATGACCTTACCTTGTTGCATCAAGATACAACCTAGGCTGATTCTTGAAGCATCACAATATATAACATAACCATTTGAACCCTCTGATAGAGTCAAAACAAGAGCTGTAGTCAACCTAGTTTCAATTCTGCAAATATTTTCTCACAATCATCTGACCACTGATGCTTGACCTTTTCCTGAGTTAACTTAGTCAATGGAGAGGCTATGGATGAAAATCCTTCCACAAACCTTCTGTAATAACCCGCTAGACCAAGAAAACTTCTGATAACTGTAGGAGAGGTAGGTCTGAGCCATTGTTTCACTACTTCTATCTTTTGAGAATCTACTCGGATCCCTTCACTAGACATAATATGCCCAAGGAAAGCAACTGACTGCAACTGATCTTAGGCATATTTATATGCCTAGAAATCTAATAATGCCCATATTTAAGCTAAGTTTGAATTCAATAAGTGTTTGTTTATAGTCTTATCGAGTCTTTTGGTTGTTTATGAGCTAACCAACATGATTAGTTGTGTAGGTGAGCTTAATTGGAGAAACGAGCACGAAAATGGACAGTGGGGAACATAAAAGATCTGAGTCAAAAGGAATCAAGGAAGAAGATTGAATAAATGTCATTCAAGGCATCTCATTATCCTCTCTGCGCCACAGAGAGGAATTTTAGTTTGGCTCGTGAAATAAGTTTTGACGCAGAACCATCCGTGTAGCAGCCACATCGCGGAGAGGTGTGTTTTCTCACAAATCAAATTGGAGTTGTGTCTCCACGTCACGGAGAGGGAGTGAATATTAATTAGCGAGATTTGAGTTTGAGGCAGAACACTTCGTGGAGTGTCCGCGTCGTGGAGAAGGCTAATGAGCCTTGAAGTGAATCTGGGAAGCACCTCCGCGTCGCTAACTAGGTTCCAAATTCGGCCATTTTGGATTTAGTATAAATAGGTCATTATTTTATTTTATTAACTTATTCTCTTTCTGGGTTTTGAAGAACGACGACTTGGGAGAATGTTTTCATCATTTTAGGGTTCTTTCCTAAACTCTTTTACTTTCGATCTCTTTATGTTTATTGAACATTGCTTGATCGATTCTTGATTATAAGTAGCTAAATACCCTAGTTCTAGGGCTGTGGCTACAGGATGATTGTAATCTATTAAGTTTTCATTGGGTTAACGTCAATTATCATATGAATCTTTCTTGTATTCTTGCTTTTTGTATTCGTGACTGATCACCATTGAAATAAATATATTTTCCAAATTGAACTCGGGAGAGGAATAAGAGGATAGAACGTGGGGGCATAAGGAGCATGATTATTTCTTAATAAATAGGGTTAATTTGTATCTAGGATATGGATATACCTAGAAACAATGCTTGGTCACTATACATGAAGAGATTGTAATGCTCGGTACTTAATCCAGCATATCCCCGCTCAATGATGTAGTTAGGTTGTTATTTATCGTGGGGAATTAGAGGTCGGAGACCATCATCATACATTTAACCCTGTGATTAATTGATTCGATAGTTGATATATATACCCATTTAAATGATATTAATTGCATAAATCCTTATAAAAGTTGCAGCCCTGGACCTTAACCAATCATTGTTTTTAGACCCGTGAAATTGAATCGCGTTTGTTACATTTTGTTGAACTCTTAGAATTAGAAAATAAATCACTTTGAAATCTTGATAATAGTTGTTCTTAGCTGAAAGTTGGAGAAATTAAGTGATTCTAAACGTAAGTCCCTATGGGTACGATACCCGACTCTTTATAAGAGTCACTTTAATACTTGAACGACCACGTGCACTTGCGTGTGCGATTTGGGGGCAACCACGTTTTTGGCGCCGCTGCCGGGGACTATAGAATTAGGAATTATTTGATTTTTCTAATTTCTGAAGTTAAAAAACAAGTGTTGACAACTTGATCTTCGCATTTCATTGTTGCTGGTTGTATTGGAACTTCAAACTGGACGACGATCAAGGATTAGTATCGCCTCTAGCGGAACCAGAAAGATTCATCCACTACTGTAGAAGGCTAAGACAACTTACTTATCCGGTCCCTGTTGTTGCTAGTGAACCAACATCTCCAGTAGCAAGAGTTCAGAAAGAGGAACCTGAAATAATGGTTGAGATGAAGGTAAGAGACGTGGCAATCCAAGTACCACCATTGTGATATCATGCATTCAGAAACCTGCAGCTGGTGGAAGGTTTGAACTAAAGCACAGTATGGTGCAACTATTGCACACTAATGGGTAGTTCATTGGTCTGTCGCACGAGGATCCAACAGTCCACATTCAAAACTTCCTCGAGATCAGTGATACTTATACTCCTACTGGAGTAAACGAGGATTACGTGAGGCTCACTTTATTCCCCTTCTCTCTGATTGGGGAAGAAAAAAGAGAGTTAAACTCAGAGCCCGCAAACTCAATTACCACTGGAATGATCTAGCACAGAAGTTCCTCATCAGATTTTTTCCATCTGGAAAAACAGCTAAGTTGAGGAGTGACATTTTGAGTTTTAGACGAAAAGAGGGAGAGAACTTGTACCAAGCTTGGGATAGGTTTAAATTGATGTTGATGAGTTGTCCACATCATCATCAATCTAATGAGGTGTTGGTCCACACCTTCATTGAAGTGTTGGAGCCTAACACCAAAATTCTACTTGATTCAGCTGTAGGTGGTCAGGCTTTGGAGAAGACATATGCTAAGCTATTCACCTTGCTGAACAGGATCTCACAGGGAAACCTCGAATGGAACGGAGGATGGGTGAAACCTGTGATACAAAAAACTGTAGGTATGCTGGAAGTAGATGCAGTGATTGCTTTAACTGCACAGATTGTTGCGATATAGAATATGATGAACACCCACTTCAACAATCTAGCATTGGGACAACAACCCGCACATGTAAATGCAGTTCAACAACACCAACTTGGTGTGAGATCTACGGAGGTGGTGATCATAGTGCAGAGGTATGTGGTGCAAACCCGGATTCTGTTAATTTTGTAGGAAATACACAACGAGGAGGATGCCAACAAAATTATGGAAACTGTTACAACCCGAGTTGGTGCAACAATCCAAACTTTTCTTGGGCTGGAAATCAAAATCAGGGTGAAGGCAAAAATCAGTATAGACCCCAAGGAAATGCACAAGGGTACCAACCACACGCCCAACGGGAGCAGCGTAATAAGCAGTCTGGTAACATGAGCATGAAGGAGATGCTGAAAAAGATTATGGCTGATCAAGCCCAGTTAGCTGCTGATGCAAGAAACAATAAGTTTGCTATACAGAATCTAGAGAAACAAGTCGGGCAGCTGGCTAGTGCCCAGAACTCACGACCGCAATGAGGTTTATCGAGAAACACTGATCCAAATCCCAAGCAGGTAAACGTGGTAGGTACTCGCAGTGGTTTGCAATTGGAGGAGTTAGGTCCTAAGAAAAGAAACACTGAAGCTATGAATAAAAGAGGGTGAAGTTGTTGCACAAGAAGAAATAGTGCAACCAATAGTGAAACCACCTCCTCCATTCCCTCAGAAGTTCAAAACACAGAAAGAGGATGGATGTTTTGGTAAGTTTCTCTCTCTTTTGAAACAAGTTCACGTTACTTGCCATTGGTAGATGTTTTGCAGGGTATACCTAGGTATGCAAAATATGTGAAAGAGATTGTGGAAAACAAAAGAAGGCTGACTGAATATGAGACTGTTGCACTTACTGAAGAGTGCAACTCTAGAATCCAAAATAAGTTGCCCACTAAACTGGAAGATCCGGGTAGCTTTACAGTTCAGATCACTATAGGGCAGAGCATTCAAGCGCGAGGATTGTGTGATCTAGGAGATAGTATCAATTTGATGCCAACTTTGTTGTACAAAAAGCTGGGGTTGGGTAGTCCTAAACCTACTACCATCATCTTACAGTTGACTGATAGATCTGTTGCTAGGCGTGAAAGTGTTGTAGATGATGTGTTAGTGTAAGTGGGATCATTGATATTCCCAGTAGACTTTGTGGTGTTGAATTTTGAGCCAGATCCTGAGGTCCCATTCATCTTGGGAAGACCTTTCTTGGATATTGGGCTAGCTATGATAGATATAGCAGCTGGACAACTTACTATGCGGGCACATGATAAAGTGGAGGTGTTCCACGTATACAAGGCATTAAAGCTGCCAGCTGCTTATGAGGAATTGTCTGCCATAACTGTGATAGGTCTTGGGGAAGAAGTGATGTTTGCGTAATCAAGACACAACTTCTAATTCAAGTGTCTACGATCATACAATAGTAAAGTAACCTAACCAAGGGTTGGAGTCGAGTCCCAAGTTGAGAATTAATAGAAAAAATAAAATTAAGTTCTAATTAGTCATAGTTATAAACATTATCGAATATAAACATACTAAATCTAAAGGGCTGACGCAAGCGTCAATTATCAATGGGGGTTTTGTATTAATTAACAACTAAAAACAGCAAAAATATACGAAAATGAGATTGAGAGACGAGATTCTTGGGATGTGATAGGAATACGAGATAGACTAAATTATTGGGTACATGCTTTTGATAGTAAATTGTTGAGTATTTGTGACTAGGCTAGACTATAGTGGGGGTAAATTCTCTCTCGAGCAACTTACCCCGAATCAACTCAGTTTCTCTCAAACACCGAGTTGCCGCATTAAACACAACCTCCACCTTAGCCCATTCACTCTCTCGAGCTGAACCCATGTCGACCCAATACCACCGGCTATAAATTTAGAAGTCTTAGTTTTACGACCTCTCTCTCTCTCGCAAGCCAAAAACATTAAGATGAAATCATATTTGCAACTACAATTCCATTAAGTTCATACACAACTACTAAATGAAATCACATCTAAACAACAAATAAACCATCAACAAGCAAGACCCAACAGATAATCTAACCCATATTCACAAAATCACACCCCAAGAATTGGGGTTTGAGCTAGACATGTAGAAGAGATAAAATTTTATACCAATATCAGTTTCCATCAACTGGGTATGAAGGATTAAGTCTTAAAACACGTCAAGAGTGAAGAATCTTTGAGACCCACGTCCAATTTCTTGGAGTTGAAATCCTTAGAATCTTCAAGGTCTTAAAACAAAGTCTCCAAAACCCTCTAAAACTTAAACTCTCTAAAAACTGTAAAAAGTTCGAATAATAATAGTGATATGATACTAAGCTATAAATTTAAACAAGTATTTATAGTGTTTGAAAATTTGTGTTGTAAAGGACCCTTCGACGAAGTTAGTCGGGATCACCGATACACTCGGCATCCATTGTTTGGTCGATTTCATCGCCTTCTTGTTTTACCCTTCAGCCTCTTCGGTTTTGAGTCATTGGACGATATGGTATTGCTTCACGGAACTGCTTATCGACGCACCGACTGCTCCATTTCATCGCCAACTTGACCTTTTCCATTAGGGCTCAGCACACTAGAACAAAAGCCAATCTCCAGGCTGATCGACGACTCGCCAACTGGGCTCGGCGATCTTCAGGCCTTCATTTCTTCGTTCTTTTCAGCCGCCTTGTTCTTTCTTGCCAAGTGGTGTCCATGCTTTACCTCAAGCTCTAAATACCTGGAACTTAAGGATTTTCATAAGATATTGAGACAAAATATGCATTTGAGGACACTAATTTTATCAAAATATAGCCCTAAATGAGTCCAATTTGTGGACTCATCAAGAAGATCAATACATTGCATCTAAGGACCCTTTAGAGCGAGTGTTAGTAGGGTATGATATCTATGGGGATGCTGAGGCACAGTAAATGGTGCAATTTCTTGATGTGGCACTTGTAGGTACATTCGGAGATCGATGAGAGCCTTTAAATAGGGTGTTGGGTCCCCCACCCAAGCCCTCCATTGAAGTAGCACCTCGGCTAGAGTTAAAAGCATTGCCAGCCCACCTCAGGTATGCATATTTGGGTGAAGATAAAACTTTACCGGTTATTTTTTCTGCAGCATTGTCTGATACACAGGTGGAAGCAACATTAATTATCTTGAAAAAAAGAAAAGCAGCTTTGGGTTGGCAAATGTCCGACATCCATGGAATCAATCCCCCGTTGTGCATGCATAAAATATACATGGAGGAAGGGCACAAGCCGAGTGCACAGTATCAACGGAGACTAATCTCATTGATGAAGGATGTGGTGAGAAAATAGGTAATCAAGTGGTTATATGCAGGGATCGTGTACCCCATATCAAATAGTAAATGGGTGATTCCAGTACATTGTATGCCCAAGAAGGGTGGAATGACGGTGGTAACTAATGAAAAGAATGAGTTAATCCCCATAAGAACAGTAACTAGGTGGCGGATCTGCATGGACTATAGAAAATTGAATGATGCCACCAGAAAGAACCATTATCCGATACCTTTCATTGATCAAATGTTGGATAGATTGGTAGGTCAGGAATACTACTGTTTCCTTGATGGCTACTCAGGGTACAATCAGATTGTTATTGCACCAAAGTACCTGGAGAAGACTACCTTCATTTGTCTGTATGGCACGTATGCATTCAAGCGCATGCCATTTGGCTTATGCAATGCTTCAGTAACATTTCAGAGATGCATGATGGTAATATTCCATGATATGGTGGAGGATTTTGTTGAAGTGTTCATGGATGACTTCTCGGTGTTTGGTTAGTCTTTTGAACTTTGTTTGACTAATCTTGATAGAGTTCTTGCTAGGTGTGAAGAAACAAATCTGATGCTGAACTGGGAGAAGTGTCACTTTTTAGTTCGAAAGGGAATTGTGTTGGGGAACAAGATCTCTAATAATGGGCTGGAAGTTGACAAAGCTAAAGCAGAGGTTATTGAGAAGTTGCCACCCCCATCACAATGAAGGGAGTTAGAAGCTTCCTGGGATATGTTGGTTCTATAGGAGGTTCATCAAGGACTTCTCTAAGACTGCAAGACCCATGTGCGGCCTGTTAGAGAAAGAAATAAAGTTTGTCTTTGATGAAAAGTGTTTGCAGGCATTTGAGTTGCTAAAGAAGAAGTTGATAGAAGCTCATATACTGATTGCTCCAAATTGGGAGACCCCATTCGAGCTTATGTGTGATGCCAGTGATATAACGGTTGGGGCAGTGCTTGGGCAACGAAAAGATAAGATGTTCCGTTCCATCTACTATGCGAGCAAGACACTTGATGCAACCCAATTGAATTATAATGTGACTGAAAAAGAGATGTTGGCATTGGTGTTTGCATTTGATAAGTTCAGATCATATCTGGTGGGAACTAAGGTTATAGTCTACACTGATCATGTTGCAATCAGGTATTGTTTAATAAGAAGGATGCCAAACCGAGGCTTATTAGGTGGATTTTGCTATTGCAAGAGTTGGATCTAGAGAAAAGAGATAGGAAGGGAACTGAGAACCAGATAGCTGATCATCTGTCCAGATTGAAGGATTTATTTCATGTGAAAAATAAGGGGCAAATTCGTGAAGAGTTTCCTGATGAGCAATTGCTTGCTTTAAACATTGCTCAAGTGCCTTGGTATGCGGATATTGTAAATTTTCTGGTGAGTGGTTTATTTCCACATGGGGCCTCAACACATCAAAAGTAGAGGTTGAAGTATGATGCACGCTTCTATGTACGGGATGAG